TTCTTTTTTAGTGGCACAAATATTGAACGCATTTTCTTATAAATGAGGTGGTGACCTTGTGCTGTCTAGTGCTTTGAAGCTGATTTAACTTTATTATTGTTGTGTAAATGGTATTATTTATAATATGTTGTGTTGGAATTTTTGTCAGACTTTTATTTGGTTCTTGAAGTCAAATTATGATTGTTTGTAACATGCACCAAGAAGAAAAGAATGAATTTCATGTGGGTTGGGGTAGTGATGGTATTTGATTTAAATTATACATATTGCTACTATAGCTTTAAATCAGAACGCACATCTGTAAGTGCTATTGTCACTTTAAATATGCTCCTCCTCTAAGATTGTGTAAGTAACTAAAAATGGCAAGAGCAGTTTTCAGTGTCAAAGTACAGGGCAGTACATATATACTTAGTGTGGCCACAAAAAGATACAATCACAGTATTACTTGGGTAGTGGATAGAGATTTCTTTTAGGTAATTATTCTTCTAAAGACCAGAGGAAATATTTTGTATAAATATGTATTTACACTTCTGAGAAACATTTAGTGTAAAACCTGTCAATCCAATCAGAGTTTAATTAATTTGTTAGAGAAGAAGAGATCTATTAAAACAGAATCTTAGGTAAAGAAAGGTAAAAGGAATTTGTGATGGATCAGAACAAATAAAGCTGAAATACATGTCTGACCAGATGCCTTTTGTACACTTAAGATAGGAAAGATGTGTTTTAATTCAGGTTTCAAAAGTAAAAGCCTAAGCTGATTTTATTTAAATGTACTTCTTAATATTTCAAAATTCCATACAGGTTGAGATATTTTAAAACACTTGTAATCAGTGATAATATTTCTTCAGATTTTCTAGTAGGGTAACAGTTCAGAATGACACAGGAATTTTAAAGGTTAGCATCAGGGCTCTTACATGAGACTTGTTTTTGAATGTGATTATACTGCCGTTACTAGAGTCAGAAATGCATACAAGCAAAACATTGCAAATTCCCAACTGATAGTCTTTTTTTGTTTGTTAGTTTGTTTGTTTGATAGTTAGGGTTATTGCTTTTTTATGTTATTTGTAAGAAGAATTTTATGACTAGTTAAAATGCATGCTTGGTTCAATATTATTTGGTATTAGGTACAGACAGGTAAGGTACAAGAGCATTCTTACTTTACAAAGCTACTGATGTTTATATAGCAGCAGTGAGGAGACATCAGCTCTCATGTGATTGCTTATGGCAAACATTTCCTGTGCTGTAACAGGAAAGGAAGGATGGGGGGGTGGGGGATGGTCTTATGTTTTATGCTTGTTGCCTGAGCACAGTCTTTTTCTCTTTGGTGGTGAAATCTAATTTCAGTAGAGATGTTGGACTCCTTCATTGTAAAGGAATCTGATTTTAGTTTTAACTGTCTGGATTTTGGATACATATATATTATTTATAATATCATACACAATTTTACAGAATGTTCCAGTTTGCAAGATGTTGCCAAAGGTTGAAGCTTTATAGGATGAAAACACAAATTTTATGAATCTGAATTTGAACTTGAGTCTCTGAAAAGCAAATTCGTATTTTATGTTATAAGATATAACCATTATGGGGTGCCTGGGTGGCTCACTCAGTTGAGCGTCTGACCCTGATATTGGTTCAGGTCACGATTTCATGGTTCGTGAGTACAAGCCCCACACTGCTCTCTGCGCCGACAGTGTGGAGCCTGCTGAAAATTCTCTCCCTCTGCTTCCCCACTTGCGCTAGTGCACACTCTCTCCCCCTCTCTCAAAAATAAACGTTAAAAAAAATAAAAGACAAATTTAAAAAGTATATCATCGTGATTTATTAGGCTTGATTTGAAACACAAACAGTATTGCTAGTGAGGAACATAGTAAAATAATTAGCAGTTTATTAATCTTAATATTATTGCCCACTTAGACAAATCCCAGAATTCATAACTACCAAATATTAAGATAGAGATAACTTGCTTAATTCAAGTTTAAAAAAATACAATATAGACAGGGGTATGTTGATTTAAGATTAGTTTTTCCTTCATGACAAGTGATGTGTAGTTCATGATTGAGGAGTAATCACTATAAGATTTCTGTTTATTACTAATTAGCTTTGTGTTGGATATGCTTACCCCATGTTCCCTTGGCATTTGTGCCTATGCTCTTCCTCTTAGAAAGTATTATCTTTTTGTTTATAAAAAGTCATTGAATTGATACGTATTTTGAAATAAAATGTTGAAAATATTTTTCATTGAAGAAAATTTAGATTTCAGATATAAAGATTTATATTCCCTAGTAAAATCTGTTCTTACATACCTTAACAGTGGCTTTTAATTGTTTGATGAGTTTAAGTAGCTAGGTCTGGTTCTGGTAACATAATTCTTTGTGGCAGGTCTTTATTTAGGAAACACAGTGTTTTTATATCTGATCGTTTTTCAAAAGAAGTAGTGGCATTTTACTGCAGGTGTTAGGAGAGATCAGTGTGGGTAGTTTTAAGGGGAAGGGTAATGATTATTTAAAGAAGCTTGTCAGCTGTATATTCTTTAGTAAAACTTGAGTTTTTGGTGTCTAGTTTTAACCTTTATTATACCATTATAAAGCCTACTTTTCTTTGGATAAATGTATAAATGTTTATCATCAGATTTAAGCTTTTACACTTGAATATTAAATATTGTTATGTTTATTTGGGTGGTGAATTTTCCCCCATAAAGTCATTAATTTAATTAACATTTTCTTTAAGATGAATTAATATTGTCCTTACTGAAACAGATAGCATTAATCTTCAGAAGGATAGAGTAAAGAGTTGAAGTATTGAAGATGAGAAATGTGTTTATTAAAAAAGCATCATCTTTGTTTTGATTTAAACATTCTAGCAATGACACTTTTCCCTTTCATCCTTCTTATTGGTATTATTAATAAATGCAAGCACTCTTGTTTTTATACAGGGTACCAAGTATGGTGTCCTTGGAAGAGACAAAGTTGTATACTGGACTTGAATACGGTATGTAAATTCTGATCTGAATAAATTTTATGGGGAGAATTTTGGTCAGTTACTCTATAATAATTAACATGGAATAATTTGTAGTTAGGATTTTCCTAGTCTCTTTTCCATATAAAATGAATATTAGTTAACTATAATAACTGTCTTTGCTTTTCCTAGAGAAACTGGAAATTTATTTATACAAGAAAAGTCAATAAAAGATAAACGTTTGGATGCTTTCTTATTTATTTGTGAGAGGGAGTGGGGAAGGGCCAGAGGGAGAGGGAGAAAGAATCCCAACCAGGTTCTGTGCTGTCAGGACAGAGCCCAACACAGGGCTCAATCCCGTGAACCATGAGATTATGACCTGAGCCAAAGTCAAGAGTTGAATGCTTAACTGACTGAGCCACCCAGGCTCCCCAATATTTGGATGCTTTCTGTGTGCAAAGGCAGTTTTTCATATCTAGTCATGTGCATTTATGTTGAGAATTGATTTAGAACTGATACTTTATATTTGATGTGAATGTAGGAATAGTACAACCTTTATTCTAATGATCTTTGTGTCTTCCTGTCATAGTGAATTAAATTTCATATAAGTATGTAAAACGTGTTAATTTAATGTTCTGAATCTAACATTAATAGAAATTTAGCACATTTCCTTATTGCTGGATTAACAGTGGAATTAATTGCTAAGGTGTAATTTTTGTTTGCTTGATTTGGGTTACCCCTAACCAATTAGAGAACCCTACGCATTTATGATCATCACTACTTAGTGTCTAGAGCCTTTGAAATATTGGCAAATTGGTTTTTTTCTCCCTCCTCCTTTACTGCCCAATAAAGTTTTATAAGCAGGTCTTTGTAAATGTGAAGGTTTTAAAAGTTACTCTGGATCATGCCTAGACACTAATCCAACTGTGATAAAAGGCAGACCCATTTGGTTTTTTTCCTTGATACATTATTTATTCTTGACATAAACTTGATAGAAGCTTCAACATTCTGGGGAGCATTCGGTGTGTCTAAAATGCCTTGTCTCATTTTCTAAAAAATAGATCTATCCAGAGAGAACCACCGAGAAGCAATTGCTAGGGTCATAAGGAAACTTCTCAGTAAGTACATGTATGCTTTTAACTTATTTTTACTAATAAATATTTAGGCATTTTGTAGCATATGTGCTTTTACTTTATTTAAATTCTAAAGAGAATATAAGGTAGTATTTTTTTTCTTAACTAATAGATTCCTAACTGATATATCAGTATTCTTGTAGTAATTCCAAATATTTTAAACAAAATCCTTCTTCTTTTATTATAGACCACATACTTAACAATTCAGAGGATGATACCAAGTCTTTGTTTCTTATCATAAAGGTACAGTTATCCTTTAGTAGGTGCATGATTATTAATGTGACTAGATTTGACATGATCACTTGTAAATGTAAAATTTAAAATTCTTTGACACAGGTTATTGGAGACCTTTTGCAGTTCCAAGGATCTCACAAGCATGAATTTGACTCTCGTTGGAAAAGCTTTAACCTAGTAAAGAAATCAATGGAAAATCGGGTCAGTATTCTCACCTACAAACTCTGAATTAATTTTTTAAAATGTGTATAATATTGATGTAGCCACTTGATCTAGCGATTGCTCAACATGCGGATGAAGTTTCCCTATGCGTAAAAATAGTAGATTTTCAAATATTGTATCGTGGTATAATCAGAAGGATTGTAGAAAAGTGTTTTCCTGATATAAACTCTTCTGTGAATTTCCATGAGTCTCTGAACTCTTATTGGGTATTTGGAGTGTGATAACTGGGCAGGCTGCTGTGTAACAACTTGAGGGAATAAAAGATAGGAGGAATTGTCCACAGGCATGAATTTAAAGCATCTCACTTTATGGAGATCTCAGAAAAATATGTCTTATGTTATTTTTGCACTCCAGACCTCAGTACAAGCTTTTCGAGAATTTGGAAGAAAGAATACTTAAGCCAGCCCTTTGACGTTGACAGCAGTGTTCTTCTGTGGGAGACTTTTATTGAATTTGAGTCTAAAAAGGTTGTAGGAATGTGTTACTTAGGCAAAGGTCGCTATGTACATTATTGGAAGGAATGGCATGTAAAATAGGGCAGGGAGGGGCGCCTGGGTGGCTCAGTCGGTTGAACGTCCAACTTCGGCTCAGGTCATGATCTCACGGTCCCGTCCGTGAGTTCAAGCCCCGCGTCAGGCTCTGTGCTGACCGCTCAGAGCCTGGAGCCTGTTTCGGATTCTGTGTCTCCCTCTCTCTCTGACCCTCCCCCGGTCATGCTCTGTCTCTCTCTGTCTCAAAAATAAATAAATGTTAAAAAAATTAAAAAAAAATAGGGCAGGGAAACAAACAAACATGGCATGCTTTGGAGAACAGTGGCTAGTGAACAGAATGGCATGATGTAACAAGGTCGTTTATAGTTTCATCCCAAGAAAGTGCTTCAGTTTTATATTCAGCATTGGGGGAGTCATTAAAATTTCTCAGGTAGATCTGATTTGAATATTGGAAAGACCAGTCTTTGATCAATCAAAATTAAAATGAATTCAATGAACTTTGAAAAGCTCTGTCATCACTGTGAAAAATAAGCAATAGGAAATTAAGACTGTAAGCAGGCAGGACAGTTAAACTATTATAAACAGTCCAGATGGAAAAACACAACCTGAATCAAGTCAGTGGCATTGGGATGCAAATAAGGTGTTTTGAAAAAGAAGAAATTGTGGGGACTTAATGACTAGTGAGAAGAAGGTATGAAAGAGGAGCAATCTTTGAGTTCCAGCCATTTGCTGTTAGTGAGCAGGTGGAAGGTAGGGTGGTAGGGGAGAACATAAAAGATAATTCGTAGAAAAATAACAGATACTAATTTCTGTAGTAAACATACACAATTAACCTGGAAAGGCTATGTATAAATGTAACAGGGTCAAGCAATTTTCTTAGTAGTCTGATTTTATACTTTTCAGTATTTGACTGAATAAGGACCAGCTTAGTTCCTTTCCCATGCATGGATCCGTTAATAAACTACCAGAGAAAAACACAGTGTTGGATGACCCATTTAAAGGGGATATTTCTTCAAAAGGGGTGGGGGGCGGGGTAATATTTCTCCTATTAGCCATAAAATTAACTGAAATAGTATCTTTGAATATAAGCCTGATCACTTAGAATAAATGAAATTCCTCTATTACCCACCAGCCACCATGGACCTTTACTGCACTAATTTTTCTATAAAGGATTCAGGGGAAGCCACTGGTGTGGAACTTCCAGACAATGTTGAAGTGTCTTCTACTTTGTTTTTTAGCTCCATGGGAAAAAACAACATATCAGAGCACTGTTGATTGACAGAGTAATGTTGCAGCATGAGGTAAATCTCTTTAAAATCATGACGACTTTTTTAAATGACAGTTTTCCAGATGAATGACATTATTTGTGTTACTTCATAGTTAAATGAACTTTTTACTTTTTAGTAAAAAACTTTGGGGTTTGATTTTACACTGTTTAATTTTCATAGCTACGAACACTGACTGTTGAGGGTTGTGAATATAAAAGGATACATCAAGATATGATCAGAGATCTACTTCGTTTATCTACAAGTTCATACAGTCAGGTAAAGCCAGTCAACTCGACCTCCCCCTCCCATTTTATTACAGGGCAATCTGAATATCCTCATTTCAAATCCAAGGAGGTTTAAGTAATTTATTGGCATAGAAAACACCTTTCAAATTGCAAATATTCTCAAGCTAATTTTAGTAGTCTTTTTAAAATAATGTTGATTTTTACGGTTTGTTATTGATTCTCAAATTTCTTTAAAAATGTAAAGTTAGTAGATTGTGTAATGTTGCTCCCACTTAATCAGATCACATGATGAAGGCCAGTCTGGGAAGGTGGTATAATTCCTCCTAGGTGTTATGCTTGGGTTTCAGCAGCCTGCTGCCATCTGAATTATGGGGTCCATCCTTTCAGGTAGCATAGGACCAAGAGATTATCTCTAAGCAGAGACAACTGGAAAAACCAAAATTCATGAACAGCTAATTACTCTGTCTTTATAAAATAATATAAATTAGGAAACTAGTCTCTAACTCAAAGATTGTACCTCAAGTAATGTTTAAAAGAGTTTGAAATATGTACATTGTGTCACTTTTACTATAGTTATTATTTGTTACTATTTGGTTTGTGGGTTATAAACTTATACTGAATCTTCTGTTTGGGTTCAAGAAAGTCTTTATGTTTCTCTGTGTAGACAGGAGAGAAAATCTTAACTCTTCTCATCAAAAGTAAGTCAGAAGAGAAAGTTGACTAGTCTGCTGATTATGTTAAGGAATAAGCACATATCAGCTCTATTCAGTCTCCTTTATCAAAAATATCTGAACCTGTGTAACCTAAACCATGGATGTGGTTGGTGGTAATATGCATTCCTTTTAGTAAAAAGATAGTCCTTTACTTGTTTTTGCTAAGGTATGTGCTTGGATGTATTTTTCTGTTACTACACCAATATTTAAGTTATTTTTGATAATTCATTTAGAAACATTTTGTAGTTTGTCTACCATTTAATAAACATCCTCTGTACTTTCTTCAGGTCAGAAATAAGGCTCAGCAAACGTTTTTTGCTGCCTTGGGCGCATATAACTTCTGTTGTAGAGATATCATTCCCTTGGTTTTGGAGTTCTTACGGCCCGATAGACAAGATGTCACACAACAGCAATTCAAGGTATAAGGTTTTCTGTTTTACTTTATCCTGAAAATTTTCAGATATACAGAAAGTTGAAAGAATTATACAGTAAACATCCATATATCCACCACTCAGATTCTGTATTTAACATTTTGCTGTGTTTGCCTTATCACATATCTGTCTCTATATCCATCCTTTTTTTTATGTCAAAGTAAATTGAAGACATCCATACCCTTCACCTTTAAATATACAGTTGTTTTTTCTCCCTAATAGTTGACTTACCTATGTTATGATTGTTGTTACGGTCTATGTTATGATTGTTGTTACGGTGGAGAAAATGCAGGCTGCTATTTGAGTTGAGCACCAGTGGTAAATAGCCTGGCTGGCCTGTAGGAGAGGCAGGTGAAAGACCAAAAGGTGTAGGGTAATGAGACCAGCGTGTTGGAAGGCCTGAGACCAGAAGAAACATAGTGAGTTTGAGTAACTGAGTCAAAGCTCGTATGATTGGAGCAGAGGGGGAAGGGAACGACATAAGATAAAGAAAATAGTATATCCCACAGGAGTACAATAGAGTATAGATGAAATATAATGATTGCTTATACTGTAAGAAGTAGGTTGATTGAACATGATTTAGGAGAGAGAATTGATAAGACTTGGTGGTTGAATATGAAGGTAGTGAACTGAAAGGAGGTATCATAATTATACAGGTTCTAAATTGTACAGCTGGTTATTGGGTCATCAGAGAGAGAACAGGAAGACTAGATGATGAATTTGTTTGAACAAGTTATATTTGAAGTGTTTCCTGTAAACTAAGAGTCATTATCAAATAGGCAGGCAGACCTCATTTCTCCACAACACACCATTTCAGCATGTGTTGATGACAGTGAAACCTTTGGGCACGGGTAAGAGAGCCAAGGAGGAGAGTGAGAAGAGAAGAGGACCAGGGTAACAAGTATTGAGAAAACTCCATTAGAACCCCAAGAAGAAGAGGTAACCAAGGAGGGAAAGATACTAAGAAGCGAGAGGTTACAGAAGCCACGGGGAGATCTTTCCCTGAGAGAAGAGAGACTCAGCAGATCATTTGCTTTCCGGAGGGAGTTAAGATAACAACTTTACGTGTTCCTTGATGTTGGCTTATAATACCAGTCAACAAACCATAGCTTGGGCTCAGTTGGTTGCTTTGATAAGTAAAGTTGCATTGGAACACAGTCATGTCATGTCATGTCTGTGGCTGCTTTCACACTACAATGGCATAGTTGTGACAGAGACCATATGGCCAACTATTTACTGTTAACCCTTTAGAGAAAAAGTTTGCTGACCTCTGATGTAGATGTAGCATTCAGGAGTACTGTGGAATGTCTAACTCGTAGAGTGGTACATTGTCCACCATGTTGGGAGCAGCTTAAAGGGACAAAATCAGGTAGATCAAGTAAGACCAAAAGTGAAAAATGTCTATTAGGTCAGTAAAACGAAATTACCAGTGACCTATGAGAACCTGTAAAGAGGAGTAGAGCACATGGTAGGTAATAAGCCAGATCAGAATGGAGTTAGGATGAATGTTCAGAAAATAACATAATAGCTCTTTTCATGAAAATGGTGTATCTTTGAAAAGGGTACCCCGTGTCATCAGAATCATTCTGATTAATTCAGCGTCTATGAGTAAAAAGTACACAGTATAATAAAGTAACCTAGTTTTTATATACTTAAAATACATCACAACCAGATTTTAGAAATTATTCCAGACATGCCCTAAAATGCTAAGAGTGGCATATTTTATGGGCTCCGTGATATAATTGTAGTAGAAGAGAATTGGAACGGAAGCTCTATCTTTAAAAACAACAGCTTTACATTTCTGTGTTATCTTACTAATAGCTATTCTTTGAGCTAATCCTCTAGTAGATGATTTAGGGAAAATATTACTGAATGCGAATTAAAGGTCAAGTTCAGGTTTCTAAAAGTAACATGTTAAGTGTGTGAACCTATTTTACCAACCAGTATCAGACACTTAAATAGTAGTAAATTTAAAAACAACTCATAGATGAATTGGCTACAGCTAAACGGTGCTCTTACTTCCCATGTTAATTATTTTTTCCTGCAGGGTGCCTTGTATTGTCTCCTTGGAAATCACAGTGGTGTATGTTTGGCAAACCTTCATGATTGGGACTGTATTGTACAGACGTGGCCAGCAATTGTTTCTTCTGGGCTTAGCAAAGCGATGTCCCTGGAAAAACCATCAATAGTGAGACTATTTGATGATCTTGCAGAAAAGATTCATCGGCAATATGAAACAATTGGCTTGGACTTCTCAGTAAGCAAAAACCATTTTTTTAATTCAGATTAACATTTGCTTTCTGTTTCCTTTTTGTACTCAGTAATCATTATGGTAGGTAGCAGGGTGGAGTGTGAATTTGGAGCCTGGCCAGGAGATAGGTAGGAGGTTTTTCTTCCAAGAGGCAACAAAAGGTTATTACACTGTTGCATTTACCATTATTCTTTGTATATGCATGGGCTCGTTTTTTCAGAGTTGATTATATTTTAGAAGGTCACTCTTAATAGTCAAAGTCACATAAGTTTGATCAGAGGGTTCATCATTTATAGTGATGAATATTAAAATTGGATGATTTGACACATGAGGAAGGCTATCAATTTCAGTGGTGCTCATATGGAGAGATATAGCAGGTGCATATGTATACACCCATCATAACTGAGGGTGGATAAAAGTGGTGTGAGTGCAGATGAATTGCCTTCTTCTCTAAAGTAATTGTGTTTGACATCCATCCTTTGGTTTGAAAACCACTGCTCTAAACATATTCCTTTTCTGTAAAACATAGTCTTGTTATTTGCAGCTGTCATTAGATTATGTGGTTTTTTTTTTTTTTTTTTTACGATTTTATTTTTTTAAGTAATCTCTGCACCCAGCGTGGGCTCAAACTCAAAACACTGAGATCAAGAGTTGTGTGCTCTACTGGTTAAGCCAGCTAGGCTCCCCAGCTTATGCTTTCTTTAAAAAAAGTTTTGGGTTTTTTTTTTTTTAATACATAATTTACATAACAAAAAATATACCGTTTTAACTTAACACAATAGCATACTGTATATTCACAATAGTATATTCTCAGGGCTCTGCAACCATCACTACTCTCATTTCAGAACACTGTCATCACTCAGAAAGAAACCCTGTACCCAGGAGCAGTCACTGCTCTTCCCCCAGCATTCCTAGTCCCTGGAGATCACTAATATGGAGTCCCTGGAGATCATTTATATGGAAATGGAATCATACGATAGGTGGCCTTTCGTATCTGGCTTCTCTCTCTGAGCATAACGTTGTCAAGATTTGTCCATGTTGTAGCATGTATCAGTACCTCACTTTTCCCCCTCGCTTTTCTTTTTTGTAAGATCCCGAAGTCCTGTGTTGAAATAGCAGAATTACTTCAACAATCAAAAAACCCCTCTTCCAACCAGATAATGCTTAGTTCAGAAGAAATAAAAGAAGGACTTAAACGCCAACAAGAGAAGAATGCTGATGCCCTGAGGTAATTATGAATACCCATTTTATCCAGATAGATGGCATTAAAGACAGCTGGTTTTAAGTATTTCTGAAATATAGATGCACCATGAATACCTCATGAAATTTACACATTGATTCTAAAAAAATACAAACTGTTAGGAAATAATTATTGTGAAGGTCCCTGTGTTACTTTTAGCTATAGAAGTGGAAAACACCATCTTAAAATTATCTCAAAAGACTGGTTTTAGATTTCTGGAACCCAAGCAGTTCAGTGCTTCAGTGATAGCATTCAAGCGGGAGCCTTTCTAGCTTGATTTTTGTCTTTGCCTTATGGTTATGCATATTAATTTTTTTCTAACATGCCTACGTAAGAATAAACTATTATAGCCTACCTTGTGTATACCTAGAGTGCCATATAGGTAGACCACTTCTAACATCGATTACTACTCACAGGTTTACTTTTGAATATCTGTTGGGAACAGTTGTACCTAGAGCTTTGTGTTGTTTTCTCTCTGCTGTTCATGGTCTTTTCCCACCATCTCTCTTCACCCATCTGCTTTCATTCTGGCTTGAGTCTCACCACGCCTTTTATAGTCTGGTGATAGCATGTAAGAGAATGGTGAATTTGGCTAGAATTTGAATTTATGTTACATTATTTGATGATCGTCTTAGTGCTGTATTAAAACAATACCTCACCTGAATTTTTTTTTTTTAAGGAACTATGAAAATTTGGTAAACACTTTATTAGATGGTGTGGAGCAAAGAAATCTGTAAGTGCAAAATTTTTTTTTTTTAATGTTTAATTTTGAGAGAGAGGGAGAGAGAGAGACATAGTGCGCAAAGGCAGGAAGGAGCAGACAGAGAGGGAGACACAGAATCTAAAGCAAGCTGCAGGCTCTGAGCTGTCAGCACAGAGCTCGATGCAGGGCTCGAACCCACGAAACCATGAGATCATGACCTGAGCCGAAGTTGGACGCTTAACGGACTGAGCCACCCAGGCACCTGCCAGTTTTTTTTTTTAATGTTTATTTATTTTAGAATGAG